TTCAGAGCAGAGAAGCTGAGCCAACATTGCTTCATCTCTTTATTTTTTTAAGCAAATTAAAAATAATTTTTTAAAAATCTTTATTTATTTTTGAGAGAGTCAGAGTGCCAAGGGGGGAGGAACAGAGGGAGAGGGAGACACAGAATCCAAAGCAGGCTCCAGGCTCTGAGTTGTCAGCACAGAGACCAACACGGGGCTCAAACTCACGCACTGCAAGTTCATGACGGGAGCCAAAGTCGGACGCTCAACCTATTGAGCCACAAAGGCACCCTTGCTTCATCTCTTTAAAAATCAGGTTTAAAACTTCTTTTTTTACCAACAGTCTCCTTTTCCAGAGCTAGGGAAGGAATATAAAAGCAATTCTAGAGTTCAGAGATCCAATATTACGTGCTCAAAAACAATACCCCTAAGACTGTCGCAGACAGGACAACAGTTTTACAAGATAACAAATGCTTTCTCAACCTTCTTATTTAGAAGACTACAGAGGCATTACCTTAAACAGCAACTGTTACAGCTAAAACACAACACACAAACAGAGGACAAATGCCATGTTAGGAATTAAATGGAATTTATCATAGCAAATAATGAATATCTCTGAGAAGTAGATTCACCAAACTATATTTTCTAATTACTACAAGTCTCCTGTGCATTAATATTGCTGTATTTCATCCTGTTGCTCATTTAAAAGGCCAAACTATTTCCTCTGTTTGCCAAATTGTGTTAAGCTTCTTTTCTTTTTGGAAGAGGCTCCAAAACACAAGGCACAACTATCTATAGGTCTTTTCTCCAACAGTTCTCTGCCTATATTATGAAGTTCTCAGGCAGGATTATGGCTAAACTGAGTTTTAACATGAATGGAGGACATTACCCATACTCTTGGTTTAAAGCTGAAGGTATGTCCCAGCCATTAGACAATGCTCCTATACTAGGACTACCTCAGGTTTTATCAGGAGTCAAGATGGTATACTAATCATTAGAGTTCCATGGTGTACCTTACATACATTATCTCACTTAACTATAACAATAACTCTATGGGATAGAAATTATTCCTACTTTAGGGGCACCGGGGTGGCTCAGTCGGTTAAGCATCTGACTTCGGCTCAGGTCATGATCTCGTGGTTCACGAGTTCGAGCCCCACATCAGGCTCTGTGCTGACAGCTCAGAGCCTGGAGCCTGCTTCAGATTCTATATCTCCCTCTCTCCCTCCCCTACTCACACTCTTCTTCAAAAATAAATGAACATTTAAACAAATTTTTTTAATAAAAAAATTTTTAAAAAGTATTCCCAGGGGCGCCTGGGTGGCGCAGTCGGTTAAGCGTCCGACTTCAGCCAGGTCACGATCTCGCGGTCCATGAGTTCGAGCCCCGCGTCGGGCTCTGGGCTGATGGCTCAGAGCCTG